ATCTTGAGCATAATTACCAGAATCTCTCACCCAAGATCACAATTCCAATTCGAAATCCTGATTTCGCAATTCTAAAAAGGAATCTTCATGGAGTCCATTTTCGTGAAGTTATGAATCTCAACTCCTTGTTTTAGGAATCTTGATTCCAACACTTATAGAATTCGTTTCTAATATTTAATGATTCCCGATTCCGCAATTGTTGAATCTCGATTCTACATTTGTTGAATATGGATTCCACATAGAATGGTACTCTCTCCATCAAATTAGAAACTCATACATAAGACCACGAACTACAAAATAAACAACTCAGAACGTATGAGAAGCATCAAATCAAATATTTGATGCCAAAGATATTGGAATATCGATACGATATGTGAATGAAATTCGATTCCATATGGATCAATTCCACAGAGGTCAGAACGTTGATTCCAAAGAGGATGGAATCCGAATTCCATATATGTAGGGGTCTCGGTTCCATTTGGGTCGAATCTCGATTCCTAGAAAATAGGAATCTCGTTTCCCTCAATATCCCATTGTACGGATGTTGATTCTGAAAACATGACTGCTCTAGCTAGCCATGATTCCGCAATTCCAATTCCTAAAATGATTAGGAATCTCAGTCGTTTCCAATCATTTTGGTCCTGAGCCTATTCCAAGTCAATCAAGTTCCATTATCTCCTTTATAAGATTTTCCTTTCTTGATCCTAGGTCTCCATAGCATTCTTTGCTCCATGCTTTGAGTTTCTCTTTAAGGAGTTCTGGCATCCTGGTTAGGAATGGATTCGGTTTGTTTTTTGGCAGGGATCTAATATGGACTCTCCTGGGAATTCTTCTTCCCATAGTTTGCACACAAGGAACCTGTCTAGTTTGGAGAGGGTTGGGTTACTGGAATGATTTGACCAGGTGAAGGAGGCTCCGTTAAGAGGGAGACCAATGAGATTGTCAATAGATAAATTCTGAGAACCCTTCCATACTTGTAGGGCAGTCTCCTATATTTCTCTTAGGACAACTGGTTGACGTTGAAGTTCTCACCAAGGTAAGTATGGAAGGGTACTGGGCCATGTGTAATTCATTGCAAAACTGCTCTTTAGTTGGAATCGATTTGGTAAATACACTGCTATAAATCCATCTTAAATTCGGAGAACCGTGTTGGTCAGAGAAAAATGATCAACAAAGGAAGTTTCCTGGGATAGGATAAAGGGATTCAAGAGGATCGGATGCCACCTGATGACCCCCTGGGTCGGGGGGCAATTCATGCAACTGGTCTATGACTTCAATGGCTCGAGCCTTTGTCAAAGTTGAGCTTCCTTTTTGGTGTCAGTAATGGAGATGTTGTCTGGTTGAAAATTGCATGAATAGAACTGGATTTGTTTAATTTTTTGGGGACTGCCAGGGCCCTTATATCATTTGGCAGTGTTTGGGTTGGGTTGATGAACTGTCGTTGTGCGACGAGGGAGTTGTGGGAGTTGTGGCTGGCTGAGGGCAGGCTCTATCATAGATTATATCGGAATTTAGGTTCCTGATTCTATGTTTCCTAGTCCCTTGGCTTTGGTCCCCTTGTCTCGGTGGCATCATCTTTTAGTCAGTTTTGCCTTGAGGGCTTCGGTTATGTTCTCAAAATCCACCATATATAGTAGTGGCAATCTGAAGTCGCAGTAGATGAGTCATCATCATGTTCCATCCACAGCCATGATTCGATGGTGATGGTTCAAAAGGGACAATAAGTGAGGTTGGCTGGTCTGGGTATGAGGTAGGTGATATCAGTTTGTTGCAAGGCCAAAGGGTTAGCTCACTGTACTATTTTCTGCTATATGCGATTAAAAAGAAAAACTTCCAATTTGCCTGAAAAGGAGTGGGGAGGATGTGGAAGCAATGTTGTTAGCATCATAGGATGTAGGATCATGAGTGCTATGAAAGGGGTATCATTTGGGCAGCGGTCTAGGGCAGGAATTTCATCGCAATGATGGGGTCAGAAAACTAATTGGGGTTTTGGATAAATGGAATTGATAAAAATCTTACTTTTGCCAGAAAAAGGAAGGAGAGGATGAGGAGGGACTCTTGTTGGCATCACAGTGTGGAGGATCATGAGTGCTAAAAAGGGTTATGTTTTAGGCAAAGGTCGTAGGAGGAATTGCTGGGCAATGGCAGGATTGGGGACCTGAATGGGGTTGATAAGGTATGATCAATAGTGATCTCATGTAGTCAGGGCAAGATGTGTGGTCTGAGTTTTTGGGAACATGGTACTGGGGACCTTTCTTTCAATGGCATCTCTGTTGGATGGAGACATGGGTGCTTTGTGACCGTTGAATAAAAAAAGTGAAGTGATAAGGTTTAATTTATCCTTAAAGGATTTTGGAGGGGGCTACTGGTTTTATGTATGGGATCTCCAAATGGATGGGGATCTCTAAATGGACTATTTAAGGTTTCTGGGTTGGACCAGTTGCTTGGGGGGAAAGAGGGGTAATGTGATGGGCTGGAAGTCATGTTCGTTGCAGTTTTTAGGATGTGGGTAATCAGTTGGGGGATGACCATTGGATGCAAGATAGGGATGGCTGGGAATCCTGGGATAATGGTTGAGGGGGGATATGAGCTTTCTATTGATGAGAATCTAGAAGGATTTGGGGTGTCCATGTTGGAAATGGATGGTTGGCAAGGTGCTGCCTTGAGATTCTATTGGGGTGCGTGATGTGGCATCCTGGCATCCCATTGTTTGACACGGGATGTTGGTGGGTTTGACAGTTTTGTGATCGATTTGGACTCTCAAAGTTGGTGTTTTGTAGCATGGGGTTGCATTATGTGTCTGTCGTCGAGGAGTCTACAAGGAGGTTCTCTGAGGTTGGTTTGTGGAACAATCTCAGTCATTCAGCTGTTCAGCAGAGGATGTGGTTGGGTTAAGGTGGCTTGGGATGATGGTAACCAGTGGATAAAACTCAGGTTGGGAGTGGGATGGAGATTGTGGGAGAGGGTTTCTCTCTGATGTGTACAGGACGCTCCACATGTCATCAGTGGGTTGGATGCTGCCGGTTGACATAGGTCCCCCTCTTTCTGTGCTTTGGATGGATTACCATGTTTTAGTGTGGTGGGGAACAAAGCAGTTGGTTGGTGGTGGCATGGTTTACTTTGTTGTTTTCTCCTCATCTCACTTTGTGATCAGCATTCTTTAGTTGTAACATATAATTGAATTTACATATTAATTTAGATAAGTTGGAGTATATTATTGTGCATGCTTGTGCCTATAACTTATACATGGATACTTGGGGAAGTCTCAGACACAGGAACCAGGTGTCTGATTCCCAATTCCTTGAAGAGCAGGATTTGGTGGCGCAACTATATTATAAATAGATAACCAAATCCAATATTATTTTCTTACATTTTATGTCATTATGAGTAGCTAAAAACACAATTATGCCTTGATGAATTCATTTTTTCGGAATAAAATATTATTGAATAAATATTTTTAAAAGTCCAAAAGTGTGACTCAAAATAAATGACTGATCTAGATTGAGAGTTCTAAATCAATGATGTAGTCAATAGTTAGCAAAAAAAGAGGAGTAAAAAATAATCTGTATCAGTATGTTTGCCATAGCATGTTTGACATGGATACGATACCCAAACAAAAGAATCCATTTAAACAGTTTATAATTAGTATTTATTAATTATATCTAGTGTCAAATCCTCGCACACTTTTCCACTGGGAACCACCTCCATTTGACATTCTAAGGATTAGGTTAATGGGATTCCGAATTATAATTAGTATTTATTATTTATATCTAGAACCAAATTCTTGCACCCTTTTCCACTGGGAACCGCCTCCATTGACATTCTAAGGATTAGCTTAAATTGGGATTCATTTTGGAACCCTAGCAAAAGGATTGGTGGCTCTTTCTTAGATAGTTGCAGGGGACCTTCAAGGGTCAAGCAAGAAATGCCTCAACTATTGTGGGAGTAACGGTCCTCTTGATTGGCATGATAATTTATTTTATATTGATGATTTACTTTATAATGTTCGTAGGACTATTATTAGTGGAAGGTGATTGGTTAAACCTTCCCAAGAAAGCAATTCACGTACCAATAGAAATTGATTGTCGCAATGGAGGAGGTCATCTACCCATGCTGGTCGTCCGGGGTTACTTTCTGTTGTTCTCAAAGAAGCTAATGAGACTGGTTATCACATAGCAAGGGAGTGAATGAGTTTCGACTGCCATGCTAGGAGCTCTCCTTGCTAATGCAGTCCTTTCCTTCTCTATATATGTATCTTTTTGTCTATGCCTTACTACTTTATGGTATGCATCTTAGTTGATTGAATGGTTACTATCACACACACACACGTAATTCACGTATGCAGATGTATGTAGCAAAATACGTAATCAATATATCTATTTTGAGATATATTTAATTATAATACTACCAATAAACCCAATTATTGCAATTGCTCATTCAATTATGATATTAACAATGAACCCAATAATTGCAATTGCTCAGGCTACCTTCTTTTAACTTCTAGGGTCTATTTGTTAGTTCAAGATCCCTCTTACTAACTAGAATAAAAGAAGTAGTAGATCTTTTCCGACCAAAATGGGAATCGGGCTGCTGAAACGATATAGAAATGAACCGAAACAATTTTTTCCAGGGGGGACTACTGAATGATTTCTTATTTTATTTCATTGTGATCCTGAATCCCCTTTCCCTAATCCCTTTTAAAAAATGCACCTTTTATTTGATTGATCAAGTTGAGATTTTTTCTTCAATTTGGGTGAATAAGTTTTGGTACTTTTGTATTTCACCTTTCCATGATATAGAAAAGATCGCATTATGGAAAACAATTAACTGAGTAGCACTCCATTCAACCTGAAGTTCACTCAATATGAAAGATTTGGGGATATCCAGTCTATTAAGTACATCACCTTTGCCATTATATTTTCATTGGGGAGTTATTCATTGTCTATTTGATAAAATAAGTGGTTTGTTATATATCTAATATTTGCTTCTTAACTACCCAGGTGGGCTGTTTCTAAATGCAAAGGAGGAGATTGTTAAGTGGAAGGGTCTCTTGAAGAATTACCTTCAATCTGAGGATGATGAGGTTTGTTTCTTCTTTGTATCTATCATAAACAGTTTTCTATGTGGTTATTTCTTTCTCTTCTGTTTTTTGTGTCCATTGAATTAATAATGAGGAATTAAAATTTAAAATATTTTTGTGAAGAAGTTGTTTTTTTATTTGTATAATATAACTTTTTCCTGCTATGTGAACTTAGATGAAATATATTCTTATCAAAGTCCATGGTTATTACATTCATTTTTTGATGTCATGACAAATGCCTTCTCTACTGGGGTTCTCATATCCTCTAAGAAGCTTCTAAATGGCTGTTTGCATTATATCATACTTAAAGCCCAAAAAGTATGTGACTTAGAAATCATACGCATTTTGATAGCTATGATTCTTTCGACATAAGTGTGGGCTTGATATCATGCACACATTAGTTGTCTGCTCCCTCTCAACTGTCAAATGGTTGACTGACTGCAGTACTTGGCATTCTCACACCCAAGTTTGGCCATTATGGTTATTCTGGTTTGTCACCATATGCAACCACTCACTAGGTCTGACCTTTAAGTTGCAAGTTGGTAGTTGGCAATGGTTTTTTATGAGGTTAGACTTAGGACCTCTTATACCTTTTCTTTCCACCATGTTCTGTCGGTAATGCAGAAAATGATGGATTGGTCATTGAGGGCATTGGGTGTAATGATCTTTTAGTTGTCGATGTTTCCTTACCATTGAGATGTCTTGGCATTGATGAGACCATCTCCTTGGCACTTTTAGGATCAATGCAGTAATTTATTTCAAGGTAATAGAATCATCATCATCATAGCCTTTTCCTAATTATTTGGGATCAACTACACGAATCCTGGTCTGCCAGTCTGCTCTATTAAATGTCATACCCTTAGTGAGGTCATAAGTCCCCATATCTTTTCGGACACTTCCAACCACGTCCTTTTGGGCCTACCTATTGCCCTTTTCAATCCTACCACTTGAATTAACTAGCACCTCCTAACAGGTGTTGTATTGGGTCAGCACCACATATGACCAGCCCACCGAAGTCTATTCTCTCTCATCTTATTGCCGATTGGTGTTACACCTAAATTTTTCCGAATGGATTCATTTTGAATTCTATCCCTTTTTGTCTCACTCATCCATCTTAACATTATCATCTCCGCTACACTCATTCTATGGGTATACTGTTTTTTGTTTGCCCAACGTTCTTTCATTTGTCCTATAGAACTTGCTATTCAACTTTGTTGGAATGTGGCGATCACATAACATTCTGGTTGCACATCTCCACTTCGCCCACTTAGCTCTAATTCTATGTGCAACATCTTTCTCAATCTCTCCATTTTCCTAGATTATCAACCTAAGATATCGAAAGTACGGTCTTTTTTGTACTTCTTGGCCATCGATCTTAACTACTTCCCTGTCTCTACTCTTATTTTTGCTAAACTTGCATTCCATATACTCTGTCTTAGTTTGGCTAATTTTAAACCTTTGGATTCTAGAGCATCCCTCCAAAGTTCTAACTTTGTGTTGATGTTGATTTGGGTTTCATCGATCAAAACTATATCATCTGCGAACAACATGCACCATAGTACCTCATCTTGTAGGTGCCTAGTTAAGTCATCCATAACGTAAACAAAGAGGTACGGGCTAAATGTTAACCCTTGATGTAGATCTATTGTCACTGAAAACTCACTCATCTCTCCACTAGTTGTTCGTACATTAGTTAGCGCTCCATTGTGCATATCTCTCACCAAATCGATGTAGTGTTTGAAGACTCCTTTCTTTTCCAACACCCGCCAAATCAAATCTTGAGGTAATCTATCATAAGTTTTCTCTAAATCAATAAAGACCATATGGAGGTCTTTTCCTTTCGCCGTAAACTTCTCAATTAGTTGCTTAAGTAGGAAAATAGTCTCGGTTGTTGATCTTCCTGGCATCAAATCAAATTGGTTTTCAGATACACTCGTTTTATGCCTTAGTCGTTACTCAATCAGTCTCTCCCAAAGCTTTATAGTATGACTCATAAGCTTAATCCCTTGATAGTTTGCACAATTCTGTATGTCTCTTTTGCTTTTGTAAATAGGCACCACATTACTTTTCTTCCATCCGTCTGGCATTTCTTTGGTTCTTAACGCCTTGTTGAACAGTTTCGTCAGCCAGTCAATGCCAATCTCCCCCATACACTTCCAAACCTCTATCGGGATACCATATGGTCTTAAAGCCTTCTCTATCTTCATCATTTTTAAAGATTCTTTCACTTCCGACATCCTAATCCTACGAATGTATCTATGACATCCGTCATCACTTATACCAAACAGTTCCTTCTACTACTATATTTCCATTGTGTTCATCATTTAAAAGTTTTTGAAAATAAACTCTCCACCTTTCGTTGACCTCGTCATCCCCAAGACCCTTTGATCCTCACGCATAATGCATTTCAAGGTAGTAGAATATTTTTACTGTTTCTGAATAATAAAAAAATTCAAATTAAAAAAAGGAAAAGAGTAGGCAAAACTTTTTTTTTTATTTCTACATGTATCATATGCTTGGTGTGTAAACATGTGCCATGAACTATGCCTTTGTCCATGTTGCATTGATGTGGCCAGATTCATTGCCTAATGTGCGGTCTAGAAATGAAGAAGCTGGCCTATGGTGTTATTGACAGTCCAATCAATTAGGTCCGTAGAGTCATATGGTATACATGCATACATCGTGTTACTTTATGTCATGCTTTCTTGGGTCGTTTAAAAGCTCTGGCTTAATGTTCTGTAAGTCTTGTGGTACTTTCCTATGATGTGGATCTTTTGTGTGAACCATCAAATACAATTTGATATTTATTTTGCCTGGTAAATGTTTGTATCTTATGGGACACTTTGCCATGTAAGCAATTTGGTGGTCCTGTGGGACCACATTGTATATTCCTCTAGCCAAAACACCATGTTAGGAGGTTTGTATAACTCAGAAACTCACCAATAAACTTTTTTCATTTGAAGATCAATATTGACAAAACAGAATTTGATTTAGATCTCAAAAATGCTCCAAATCAGATACCACTCAAGGATCAATTTAGATGTTCATGCAGGATCAGCTTGAGATTTATGGACTCAAATCATTTCTTTTTTTTAAGTGATCACAGCATGAGGCAGATATGTTTTTAGAATCTTTGGGGTACAGAAACATCATTATGTATTTTGCCAAAGGACCAGTACAGTATGGTCACAAGAGACCACCTTAGACACTATTTTTCTTGTATGACATGCATTCTAAAGAGACGCTTGCGTAAACTGAACTCCCTTTATATCATTGAATATAATTTTTGCGTAGAAGAATCATACTATGTTTGCATAATAAATTTTTAGAATTACAAAAAAAGTTTGAAGAAAATTCTCAAATGTTTGTAAACCATGCATGAGTTGCACTTGTAAACTTTGCATGAGTTGGACTGGCCTTCACTTATCAAAGACTGCATATATTTGAGTTTATTATTGTTACTTCCAGGTCCATCTATAGATTTTATTTCACAATTGGAGATATTTATATATATTCTTGATCGTGGCAACTTGAAGGTTCAATAATTTCTAGGTATCATGTTTTACTTTGGTGGTACATATGGTGTGCTTATCTGCTGTATCTACCTACATGACTATTTGTTTTGTATGCAAAACTTTTTCTATTTGTTCTTTATGTTCCTTTTTCGTTGAATTCAATGATGTAATCTTTCAAAGACTTTATATGTGATATCCTAATAGACAGTTATTGTTGTTTTCATTGTAGGTTGAAGTCTTGTTGAAGTTTGAAGAGATATGTTTGGAATCTCTAAGGGAATATTCTCCTATTTTTTGTTCTGTAAGTATGCATAGACTGAAATGCAGTTTGCATATTTAAATAATGAATAATCAATTTCTTTCTGTATTTTGTTTTCCTTTTTTCTTTTTCCAAGTTAGGGTATGTATGCCAATGTGCTAGTTTTGAGTTGTATTTACTTAGCTGTTATTGACATGACACTTCTTTTTTTTTTGGTTAAAGAAAAGGTTGACTACACGCCACTTTAGTTTATGGTTATAAATTTCAGTTTTATGGTAATTTGATCTTTGTAGAAACTTTTGATGGCAGCCTGGTTTTGTTGGCCATTTAGTTGCCTTTTGGAAAACATTTGGATGTTAAAATATGGTCATGGATGGGTTGGCCAACATCAAATGTTGGTTAATTTGGCTGGTGGTTAGCCGACCTCAGGGGAGAGCATGAGATTGTTCTGTACTCAGAAGATCCTTGGTGAGATGTGAGGGTGTGGGGAAGGGTCAAACCTAATACCTTGGTTGTTCGCACTTGCTTTATAAAAGTTTCCGGGAAGTTAGGGTATGTATTCCAATGGGCTAGTTTTGAGTTGTATTTACTTAGCTGTTATTGACATGACACTTCTTTGCTGTTATTGACATGACACTTCTTTTTCTTTTTTTTTGGGTTAAAGAAAAGGTGGACTACACGTCACTCTAGTTTATTGTTATAAATTTCAGTTTAGGGTAATTTGATCTTTGTAGAAACTTTTGATGGCAGCCTGGTTTTGTTGGCCATTTAGTTGCCATTTGGAAAACATTTGGATGTTATAATATGGTCATGGATGGGTTGGATAGAAGGCACATGATAATAAGTCATGTTTCTATGAATGCTTCGGATCAGGGGCTTATCAGAGACTTATACCACACCGTTTTAAAATCTTAATATCTGAATTTAATTGTGATATCAGAATAAGAGAGCAGATAAATTTCATCTTTCGTTCATCATAATAAATGGAGACATGTTCTTTTTTCTTGAGAAGAAAATCTGCATACAGACTTTCTTGAAAAACATGAGTTACCAAAAAATCAGCAGACACATACTTAGGTATAAAATCATTGCTTGCTGCTGAGGTACTTGTTAGTGGAGACCCCACTTCTTTGAGGAGCACTTCAGGGAAAAGAAAATGATTTAAACAGTAGTAATTCTCAGAGATCCCCTGCGCCCTTAAGTAGGATATGTGAATATACATCTTGATGTTATACTAAGATGGTGGTTCATTGTTTAGATTCTGGGTTGACGCTACAACGGTGTATGTCCTCTATATTTAGAAGACCTTAGTTTAACCTTTGCCTACTACTTTGCATTCTTGCTTATTTCTAGAAATATTGAACCAAAGCATCTGTGTATCCCTACTGATGCATAAATAGAAGTATACTTTCATACTGAGAACAATTTGAATATTAGTATAATTTGTTAGTTGATTTGATCATGGAAAAGCTAGATAATGCAATTCTATATGTCCTTGTACATCTTTGGTAGTCTTTATTTGTCCTTTTCTTTTCACTCTATGTCGCTTTAATCTCTACTGGGCAGATTTTACAAGTCCTTTACGATGAGGAGATTGTGACTGAAGATGCTATCTTAAAATGGGCATCAGAAAAACAAGGGGCTGATGAATCGGATAAGATCTTCCTTAAACAGTGTGAAGGTTATATCCAGGTAGGCCAACAGAATTTTGTGTGCTTGAATGGAAGGAGTGTGTGTATTTCTATAAGCAATGATTTCTATTGAATGGTTTCCTACGATAATCATCAAGTTCTTATGTCGAATTTTTAAACATGCAACTATGTGGTAAATTTGAATGTTGGCTATCTAATAGACTCAGAAAACTGCAATGTTTCAAACAGTGACTGTCAGTTGATACTTAAACAAAGTTATAGATATGATAAGAACAGATTAGAAGGGATTAACTAACGATGTAATGGTATTATTAGGGAAGGAAATACATCGAACACAATAAGGCCTCTTTATGCCCGAACGCAGTTAGATATTTTTTACTAGTGATATTTTTATGTGAAAATATCATTTCATCATCATCATCATGAAAGCCTTTTCCCAATTAATTAGAAAAATATCATTTAAGGGTCAAAAGACCTTGCAAAATTATTAAGGGGGTCAAAACACCCAATTACCATTATGGGGTTTGCTTTTTACTTTTCATTTCACTCAGTTATCTCTTCAAAAATGTTTTTAAAATGACCATGTTCGAGGGAACACTAAACAAGCTGGGGCATTTCAGTAATTTGACCCACCTAGGGGCCACAGTCAAATGATAGGAGTTCTTCTTGTTCAAGGTGGGTCAAATTACTCCCTGGAATTCGTTCAAGAAATGCCAAACATGTGGTAATTTATGCTGATAATGAGGAGAATACAAATACCTTTACCCACACTGGAAGTGCCCCTACTTGCTTGGGGTTTTTAACCCTAAACAAGGGTAATTTGGGTAAATTGTTGATATTTTTTGAGAAGGTACTTGAGTAAACTTAAAATATAAGTAAACCCTTTACTGTTAATTGGGATTCTTTTGATCTCCTTAGTGATTTTGTAAGGGGTTTTGACCATTTATATGAAAATTTTATTTTCACGTTCAAATTTTGAAATGTTGCTCTTGGAGAGAGATATATAGAAAAGTCATTTGACAAGCAAATCTCAGAAGACACAAACAAATATTCTGCATATGTACCCTAATAATCAAGCCTTATGTCTTCCCCAAGAGGAACTCAAAACGAATGAATTCATTATGCTTCTTTAGATTTCAAAAGTGGTAACTTAGGTACATCTAGTTAAGGCCTGGGTCACAATATGCACTAACTTTGACCGCACTAACTTTGACAGTTATCTTTAAAATTTTGATTATCTTATACAGTCTGTTATCATGATGATTTCTCATATATCTACTTGTAATTGAATAAAAAGAGGACATGGATATGAAAATGGTGTATAGAAGATTTCTGGGGTGGGGTTTGGTTTAAATGATCCTTTTGTTCTTATTGTAATGACTTTGGAGTATTAATAGGCACATCCATGTCTACTCTGCTGCAGATAAATGGGTTACCAATATCTATGATGCTTTTGTCTTCTTAGAAGTTGAGGGTAGTTTCTGTTCACTGTTTTAGTCAAGCATTTATTTAAAGGGAAATGATCTAATGCAATGGTTGTATAGTAGTATAATGCAACCACACCTCAAGAAAACCATACTTTTGTCATATGTATGACCCCAAATTTTGTACACACATTCTCTTCATCCTCATAATCAATCCTACGAAAAAAAAATTCAATATGCACCTTAGATATGGTCAAAATTAGTACCCATCCAACAATGAGTCTCGACCATCCATTTGGTGAATTTCAAGATCTAAGCCCTAACAAATTCAAAATCACTTTTTTCTTTTTTAGCATTATTAATCTAACAACGATAACACTATATAAAAATTTTGGGAACAAAAAAATTCTTCTGAGGCTTTTAACTAACCATCTCAATAAAATGGACGGCTTCTATTAATTGGGCTAGAATGAAAACTTTCTAGAGCATTTTTTAAAAATTTTCTTTTTTGTCATTGTTCTTCAGAATGAAAAGAGTGTACATTCAAAAATTCGTGTCAAACAAATGTTTTTAACAAGGTTTTTGAAGATGGTTGCGTTATACTACTATACAACCGTTGCATGAAATCATTCCCCTTATTTGAAATTGTGTTGTATTTCGTGTGGCTTTTGGAACTTGTCCAAATATATTTATTTATTTGTTTAATGTTTCTCATGTATAGACTTTGTTTCTCTTGATTAGAGAAGCATCAAGCATTTCATAATGAGATTCTTAATGAATGTTACAAATGAACTTGAATGGTTTGCATTTTTGTGGAAGCATCATTCTTTGTTTGGGCCTTCTTTCTTTCATTCTTTCCTCCTTTTTTTCCCAGTAAATGGATTTGGCTTGAGATTAAGAAACCCAATAAGGTGTGCTTCAACTCAGTTCGAGGTTTATGGGGAAGATATAGACCGACCAACTAATTAACCGATATTTATTTCTTCATAAAGCTATGATGAAGAAAGAATTGAAATTAAAGTAAAGAAAAAAATAGTTTGGTAGGATCTAGAGAGAGAAAGAGAGAAAAAAAAGTAAAGATGATGATGAAGAAGAAGGGAGAGAAAGAGAGACATGTAAGAGATAGAGAGGGAAAGAGAGTGGCATAGAGGTCGCATATAACCTCTACCCCTCTTAAAATGCTAATTAATATAATTACTAACTTTAATTACAACTTATGGACAATATTACTTTCATTATTCTCCTTGAAAATGTTTTTGAATAAGATCCTTTATTAGACAGTAATAAGAGCAATAACCAGCTCTTCCTTTATAGATCTGGTTATAAGCCTTTGTTAAAGCATGTCTTTCATCTGTCTTATTTTCCAGAATGAATGAAAGGAATTTTTTATTTTAATTATAAGGAGTAAACAAAAGATAATTAACAGTTTTGTCCATCAAATACAATAAAGATTATTCTTTTTATTTGCAACACTCCCCCTGAAGTTGGTGCATAGATATCATCATGCCCAATTTGCTTGTGATATCATGTGATTTGTCCACACTAACGGCTTTGGTGAAAATATCTGCAAGTTGATCTTTAGGCTTCACATGAGGAGCCTGAATGATCTTGGCAACAACTTTTTCTATGATAAAGTGACAATCTACTTCCATGTGTTTTGTCCCTTCATGAAAACAATATTTTCTGCGATATCAATGGTTGCTTCATTGTCACAATATAGAATCATAGAAAGCTTAACTCTAACACCCAAATCAAAAAGAACACTTTTGATCCACACTACTTTGCATGTACCATGAACCATTGCTCTGTATTTTGCTTCAGCATTTGTTCTTGCTACAACATTTTGCTTCTTGCTTTCCAAGTACCAGGTTTCCCAAAACAACGATATAGTAGCCAGTTGTGGATCTTCTATCAGTTTGGCAACCAGCCCAATCAGCATCTGTGTAAATTATAATATCAAGATGTCCTTGATTTGAGAAAAATATCCCTTTCCCTGGTGCATACTTGATATTTTGTACACAACATAGAGGTGGGATTTACGTGGTGCATGCATAAATTGGCTGACCACTCTAACCGCATAAGAAATGTCTGATCAAGTGATTGTGAGCTATATAAGCGTGCTCTCTATTCGTTGATATTGATTAGAATCTTTGAGTAGTTCCCCCCTTTCTCCATGAAGTTTATGATTGACTTCTATAGGAGTATCTCTAGGTCTAGATCCCAACATCCCCAGTTGTTGTAATAAGTCCAGCACATTTTTTCTAGGTGATGACTATCCCTTTCTTTGATCTCACCACCTCAATTCCCAAAAAATACGTTAAGGGGTTCTAAATCTTTGATATCAAACACCTTGCTTAAATAAAATTTTAGGGTCCTCAATGACCTTCACATTATCCCCTATCACAATATTATCATCAACATAAACAATAAGGGCAGTAATTCTGGCAGTATCATTCTTCACAAAGAGTGTATGATTAGCTTGACTCCTTTTGAACCTAAATTTCAGCAGTCCCTTACTGAATTTTTTAAACCATGCTCCAAGAGATTGTTTAAGTCCATATATTGCCTTCTTTAACTTGCAAACCTTCCATGTTTCTCCTTTAATCTGAAAACCAGGAGGCATGGCCATATAGATTTCTTCTTGCATGTCTCCATATAAGAATGCATTATTAAGATCTAGCTGATGGAGTGCCTACGATTTATTCGCAGCTAGTGAAAGAATGATCCTCACAGGGTTCAACTTGGCCACAGGCACGAAAGTGTCTTGGTAATCTATACCAAGAGTCTAAGTGAAACCTTTTGCAATCAATCTTTCTTTATACCTATCATTGGTACCATCAGTTTTTGCAGTGAATATCCATCAACATCCGACAACCTTCCCTTCAGGATGGTTGGTTATTTCCTATGTATTATTATGCTCAAGTGCTCAAACAATTTAGGAACTAAAGAACGCAAAAGTAAAAGACGATGCATGGTACCCTTTCTTTATTAGCAATTAAAGACGTGACTGCTGCAGTCAAGGCACAATCAAGAGTCTCCAAACGGTATAACCCTCCATTTTTACAACCATGCCAAAATGTCTTCCCCATCATCAAGTCTTGGAATATATAGTGAGAAGGGGAAAATGTTGTACTGCAGTTTAGGATCTTTGTGAGATTACTAACTAATAGGAGGTTACTAGAAAGATTGGGAATACGTAAGGTGGATGACAAGTTAACAGGAGTAACATGTATAGGTCCCTTTCCCTTGATTAGAATAAGAGAACCATCTGTTATTTTAATTGAACCATTCTAGAACAAGGGATATATGAGGAGAAAAAATCAGCCAGCCATATGTTTAGTTGCTCTAGAATCTATAATCCAAGGGGTTTCAGAGCAATTTATAGAGATATGATGTGCTGATTTAGATATACGTGATTGTACAATGTGAAACTTAAAGGAGGAAGAAGGGTCTAAAATGGAAGCTTGTTGCTTGAGATCTAGGAGCTTAGGAATAGTTACCAACTCTTCTTGAGGTTCAAAGGAGATGGTATCTTGCTTCCCTTGAGTAACTGAGGCAGTACTTTCATTGATTGTTGCTGAATTGGTCCTTGGAAAGTCTCGCCTTGGGCGCCCAACTAGATCCCAACATGTTTCCCTTGTGTTGAGTCTTTCCATAGTGGTGCACTTTAACTTGTCCTTCTCATCTGATGTGGGGTTTCCACGACCACGGCCACGGCCACGTCCACCACGGCTTTCGAAATGTTCTCCACCTCGATTACCACTAAAACTTGTGAATAGAGCAAATCTTTCAGTTTCACCCATAAACACTACCATTATTTTATGCCGAGTTTCTTCAAGTTGAAGAAGGGAAAAAAAACAATACCAAGTGATGACAAAGTCTCGCCACTGAGAACATTTGCCCTAATTGTTTCATACTCCCCATTGACTCCCCGCAAAAGATAAAAACTTCCTTTGTTCTAGTCTCTCTCTCCATTCCTTTGCAAGAAGAATATTGTATGGGTTGATGCTTAGCTTAATTCATCCCAGAGACCATGTAGATGAGCATAATAATCTCTCAATGACAAGTGTCCCTGTTTAAAATCACTATTTGCTGCCCCAATTTATAAACTCTTGGAATATTTGTGTTTGGGAATAGGACTCAGAGACTGTATCCCATAATTTCTTAGAGGTATTTGCAATTCATAAAGGATCGACTCATATTAGGCTGAATAGAAAATAGTATCAAATTCATAATAGCCATATCTTTAGCTTTCCTGACTACATATTTAGCATCCTTTAAGTCGGGTTTTCCACATGGCCGTCAATGTATCCCAGTTTTTTCTTTCCACCCAAAAATGGTCACTAACCTGGCCCATTCTAAATAGTTGGGTACATCAAATCTAACTGTGGTGATTTGAGATCCAGATGACTCCATATTTGATGCATGTAGATATATTATCTACTGTGGTTAAGATCCAGTTACATCCTCATATCTTAATCAACAATTGTGATCATGCTACACCCATTGATCTTTTCAAATAAAAGGTTTTAGAAATTTAGTTACACCCTCATATCTGATCATACTCCCTTTTTTCCATAAAACCATCAAAAAAGCACTAACAATATTTATTTGATTGGAGTATGCAAACCCTAATCCATCCAACAACTAGGTTTTTGAATAAATACTTGATCAGCATCCAGAATCATTATAAAAAAACTCACCTCCATTGGTATAGTTACTGTTTGGAATACATTGTAAAGCTGAAAAGGTAGGGTTTTAGGGAATGATGAAGTCATCTAACCCAAAGGATGACATCAGCCTAAACACAGTTCTTGCCCACCTTTTTGAAGATCGACCCCCCATTTTTTCCTCGTCTTTATCGAATACCGAGTAAAAATTAAAATAGAGAAGAAAACAGTTTAGTAGGATCTAGAGAGAGAGAAAAAGAGATGATATAAAATAAAGATGAAGGGGGAGAGAGAGGCATGCCAAAGATATAGAGAGATAGAAAGGGAAAGGGAGTGGCGTCTATCCTTTTTATAACATTAAGTAATAACCCTAATTACAACTTACAAACAATATTGCCCTTATTTAAAGACATAAGGCAAGTAAGAATTTAAACAAAAGGTAAATAACAATTTTATTCATTAAAGAAAATAAAGCTTATTCCTTTTATTTCCAACCGAAAACCACAACAAGAAAAAGAAAAAATATAGGCCCTTCTTTACCGTAGGCCTCGGCTGTTTTGGATATTTTTATGAAGTTCTTGACCTTATATGGGTGTTGATGGCTTGGGCACTGTGAAACCAACTCATTGATGGATAATCGAGCTAATATGGATTGCATTATAATAATGGATCTTGATTATCTTCTCTGAGGTTTTCCATAGTAAATAACTAAACAGAAATCTCTCTCTCTCTCTCTCTCTCTCTCTCTCTCTCTCTCTGTATTCGTGGTGGGTGGCTGATATCTCTCGATACTCATAAATGCTTTGTTCTCATGCAGTGGTTGATGGAAGCAGAGGAAGAGGAAGAGTGAGGACGTGCGCTTATAGAGCTGCAAATTACCATGCTGAGTTTATCTTTGGAACCGGAAGATCACAGGCTGTATAAGGTCTTGGAGTATTTTTATCTTATTTATTTACGAAGCAAAATAGGAGCATCATCTTCCGGATTAGCAGATTCATGGAAGCCATGCTTCTGTTATTGGAAGGAAGGCTTCGGGCTTGTGTTTGATTCGTCTTGCCATTTTTGTGATTTAGGCAGGATGAATCCAGAAGTTAGGACAGAACCCTAATGACAATTGTCATGTCCATTAATGTAAAATTGTTTTAATCATGGAAGCTACTAATGGTTAAGGATCCTTTGTCTCACTTGTTTATTTGGATAGCAAACGGTTAAAATGAGGCAAAGGTTTTATGGGAAAAAAAAGTAAAGCCTCACTTCAAAACTCATACAAAAATAGTGTGTGGGAAAATGTCTAGTCGATCATCATTATGGTCGTGAAAAAAAATAGTGTTTCAAGCCCAAAATATGGCGTATATTGCAAAACATTATCTAGATTGTATATTCTCCAGTGTTCATGGCCCCACGAGATTTGCATCATTTTTTAGCTACAAATTGATGGTCGACTGCGGTTTTAGAGCCATTTTAGGGATTTTCCATACCCGATGTGTTTTACCGACAAGATTTGGACGTGAGGCTTTACGTTTTTTTCTCACAAAGCTGAGGCCATATAGAAACTGCATCCCTTTGGAAAAGGTTGTAAATTCTCCCTTTCCTATTTAGAAAAAATTGCGCCATTAATATATGTGTATGGGACTATTGTCGGCGTCATGGACATGTCAGTTTATTCATGAGCAAGTGTTGTATGGGACTATTGTCGGCGTCATGGACCTGTCAGTTTATTCATGAGCAAGTGTTCTTAAATTGGTTGTGTCAGTTTATTCATGAGCAAGTGTTGTTCGTAAATTGGTTTTCATGAGCTAAGTGTTGTTCTTAAATTGGTTCATTCATGAATAGGAAAAAAGTTGTCTTGGTTATTCTGATATTAACGAGCAAGTCACATGGATGCTGCGGATCTGGGAACACTTATTTTTTGTGCAAAATGAATGGTTTGTAGATTTTTTGTTGCAATGTACACTTTTTTTAGAATTTGAATTCCCTTTTTTTTTTTCACAACCACAATTTTCAAGTTCAGATGATCAATTTGAATGTTTTTCAACACTTAGAATTGCGATTTTCAATGCGTTATGGGGTGAGGCTGTACTTATTTTGATTAGGTTGCAGCCTTATCAAACCATTTTCCAATAGTAAAATAGATTACAACTTCTGTGGACGGTATTTTTATATGGTTATGTGATACAAATAAGCATTTACATAAGGAGTACTATGAGTCAACGGTCACAAGAGCCTCCTTTTGGAATGTCCATCCCAAAGATGGATATTAACTAAGGTGTATTGTCCATAAGTTAGATATAGACGGTGCATACAAAAATATTTAAAAAAGTTATATTTTTATTCTTAAAAGTTTATTTTTCTTTTTATATTTATAATCATCTTCGCCTAGATGAATCTCCAAAAAAAAAAAATTAGAAAGGCAAAAACATCTAAAATAAATTTTAGTGGGGGGCTGCATACAAGGCGGTTGACTCGTATAAACTCCATCATTTATTCAAGGAAGCATCTACGCAACATCTATAGGTGAAGTTTTACAGTATTTTACCTACACTTCATCACTGTTCAAAGTTCATCACACGATCACAGTTGTTCGATAGTATTTGAATTTTTATAATTATTGTCTAGTCAGATTTATCTAAAATTTGAGACGTGTGTACATATGGTCAATTCACATTAAAATAAAATATTAAAAAATAGTAGTCATAAAATAAAATAATAAAATACCTTTAAAACTTTATAGGGGTATTTTGTGTAATTTTTATCATTCAAATTATTTGCTTCATATTTTATTCATGTGCATCTTATTAAGCCACACATACTTAAAAAATTTCAGATCATTATGATTTGTAAAAAAAATATTAAAATTCAAACACTATCAGACATCTGTGATCGTGTGATGAACTTTAAAAGATGATAAAGTCGAAGGTGAAGTACAGTAGAACTTCACTTATAGGCATTTTGTGTTATTTTCCTTTACACTTTTTGGACTTAGAAATGCGATTCAGCCTGCAGGAAACAATTTTCCTAATCTTTAACATGGAGACCATAAATATGAATAAATAAATAAATTTTAAAACTTAAAAATAATAATTATATTAAAAAAATATTTAGGCCATTAGTTACATTTGTTTTTAGATAGCCTATTTGCATCCGATGGATGGGTTATACCCCTGGACCGCATATTGTATAATATGCCGTCCAGCCGGCAAGAACCAATTGTTCTTAAATAACATTGGGAGGGCCATTATGGAAAGAGTGCAGTTTGTATAGAGCGGGGGCTCTAAACAATCAAATTAGAGCCTATCTTCAAATAGTATTTAGAAATATAGTTTCAATAGTGCAAATCATTGTAATGGCCTTAAAATACATTTTCATTTTTATTTATAAAGTTTAAAGTTTAAAAAATAGTGCAGATCAATAGATCTATGAAAACTAAAAAATCTTGAAAATTGACGGTCCAAAAGTGTGTTACAAAATTTATTATTTTCAAACTTTGAAATCTATTTTTTTTCTCATGTTTATGCCTCTTGATGTCGAGATTATCAATTTGAGGATATTTAAGCATCAAAACATGAAATTTTGATGTCGAGATTATCAATTTGAGGATATTTAAGCATCAAAACATGAAATTTTGGGGGTAGGCTCTAATTTGATGGTTTAGAGCGTCGGCCTATATAAACTTTTCCCTTATGGAAAATAGATGAAAGGGTTTGGGTTTATTAGTGAACAAAAATTGGACATTTTTCTCGATCACCTCTTCCGGCGAGAACAAAGCTCTGCCCAAAAATCTTATCCCAAACTTGCCACTCTCTCTCTTTATCTCTATGTATCTTTTAGAAGCAAGGGAGCCTGACGAATCCACTTTCTCTCTCTAAGATTATTGAGCTGAAACTGGTGAGTGAAAGATGTGGTGTTTAGGGATTCAAGGGGCCAGTGGTACTTCCAGTTCCCTGGCTTTCATGCGCACTTCCTCCATTAAACTCAACTCGAAGGTTTCACTTTCTCTCTCTAACCCCACACCTATGAAGTTGTGCGCGAGAAGAGGGAGACTGGGTCTTCTAGTGCGAGAAAGTGGGAAAAGGGAGGATTTTGAGAAGTGGGTAGTGAGAGTAGCAGCAGAAGGACAGGTGGGGGAAAACTTTTCTTCTTCTACTGGGACTGAAAACCCAATTGAAATTGAGCCCGAAGAAACTGCGGTATGAATTCAATATTATCCCTCCCTTCTTGTGGGTTTGCAATTTTATTTTTTTTATTCCCTTTGTTGGGCATTTTTTTTCGCGGTTTAGTTTCTTTTCTTTTAATTCATGGGTTCATGTACCCCATTGTAAATTTCATCTCTGTATTTGTTAATTTTCTTTTTGGTTATTAATGGCGGCTGAAATTTTGGTGAGTTTAGGCATATTAGCTTGGGTTTTTCATGTATATCTAACTTCAGGTTTCTTGAGGATTGCTGCTACTATATTGTGAATTTTTTTGTGTTGAAGATTGTAGTTGTCTTAGATTTTCCTTTGGTTCTTTTTCGTACATCATATCTGTTTGTTTAATTTTTAATGAAATACAGAGAACTTAAACTTACTGGATTTGGGAATGCTGCTCAAAATGTGGGACTTCATCAATTTCTATGGACCATGAGAATTGTTTTTCCTTAGTATCTCTTGGTGTTTCAGAATTAGCAAGAATTATATATGCCGAACATCTACTCATTGGATTTTAATGATTTTAATTATGAAAGATAATATATCTACTCATTGGATTTTATGATTCAGAAGACTTCTGGATAGGAAACAGGACAGTGTTATATGACATTTTAGAACTTTTTCTGCTCATTTCTTTTCTATTTAATTCCCTTTATTGGAATTGTATATTGAGGGGTGCTTTGTAAAGGCTTGTCATGATCCCCATCCGTTACTGTTCTTTAAATGAATGATGTCAAATCGTCACACTATAAAATTTTCCTCATTTATTGAGTACAAAATTGGTTCCTAAAACTTTAGGTTTCCCAGTGATCAATGTTGGTTTACTTTTTGATAGTTGGAACTTCCAAATGTCGTTATTTCTCAAATGAATTCCAACTTTGATTAAATTTCATCTCTGGAAATTATCGTCAAGGACTTATGTGGTCACTTCTCTATCTTTCTGTTAGCATCATGAAACTTCTATTTCTTCTCCAAGAGGTTGATGATGAGTTTCTTTTGCCTAATCTCTTTCCCATCCTTTTGATTCACTGACTGTCAATATTATTCGAAATATTTATATCATTTGCGTGTGACTTCTGGTATCTTCTAAAAGTCTCGCTTATTTTCAACGCCTTCGTACATAATCTGGCTAACATTTCCTTGAGCTATCGAAAAACACTCGAGCTCTTCAAAATAGTTCTTATTGGCCATGTAATTATTTCTATTTGATTGCCTGCCCACAATGTCTCCTTACATGCGGAAAAGCCACACAATCGCAACAGGCACGATGTCCTCACAACCTGGAGTAGAGTTCTATGGATTTCATTATTTATGACTGATATTTCATTACTTCTATTCTCGAAGCAAGCCGTGGTGTAATCTCTGTTTCCTCCCTTCAGTAGGCAGACTAGAACTACTAGGAAGAACCAAGCCCTAAAGAAAAACAAAGGCAGAATTTTGAAAGGGCAAACAAAAGAGCTTTCATCAAAGAGGGAATGAGTAATACCCTCTGGAACGATGAAGGCTCTTGTGTACAGTGTACCGTGATCCCTTTATTGATTTATATTATTTTGGTTCACACCTTTTTTAACTTCAAAAAACTAACCTTTTATATGATTCTTATCGTTATCTGCCTCCAGCACTTTCTTTATATTTGTGATTTCATTCATTTCATGTTTTGGCAAGTAGTTATTTATATTAGTATGTTGACCTGTGGGTTTGGTTAAGTGGTATGATCGCTTTTTGTAATAAGAAGAGGTCAAATGTGTGTGCATGTGTGTCCGTGCGCATATGCGATGCTTTTTCTTTTCTTTTTTCTTTTTTTTTTTTTTTGGGGACAAAGTATGTAATATATGTGTTTTCTTGTGAGTCGTAAAGTTGGTTTCTGAGCCCTCTTTGACTATAGTTCTGTATTGCTTTTATGTGTAATGCTTTTTCCTGTTTTTTCGGATATCAGACGGCCAAGGTTGTTGTCAAGACCCCTACAAAACCAAGGCTTGTTTTGAAGTTTATTTGGCTCGAGAAGAACATCGGTCTAGGCCTTGACCAAGTTATCCCAGGCCATGGAACCATCCCTCTTAGCCCTTACTACTTTTGGCCTAGGAAGGATGCATGGGAGGAGCTCAGGTCTAAGTTGGAGAGTAAACCATGGATCTCTCAGAAGAGAATGATTATTCTTCTCAATCAAGCCACTGATATTATCAATTTGTGGCAACAGAGTGGAGGCAATTTATAGGTAGGCGGCGTCCACATAGTTGTGGATAGTAGTATTTTTACATGAACTTTGAGCTATTGTTTTGCAATGTAACACAGTGAGCAATCTTTGTTGCGTATATTGTGAACAGATTCAGTTGGTTCTTTTTCTTCATCTTTCTGGATATGATTCCATATTTTGTTTGGTTTTCTCATGTGGAGTGCTCCCTCATTTAGAAGATATCTAGCAATCAAGCCCTAGGTGTATATGGTTTGATTGTAGTTACCTGGCAAAAGATCCTCTATGTGCTTTCCCTCAAAAAATAATCGAGTCTATCATATACATACAATATATAATCCTGGATTGAGTTCTTTCTTCATATTTTACGGAATTCATTGAATCAGTGTAATTATCTTTAGATAGGTGGTAGGTCGGATTTTCTTACTTCGATCCGTCATTTTCTTTGCATGTTTTGCAATCTCCTACTTGTATTCTATAATCGACATCATTTTAGTTGTCTCGGGTTTATTTTAAGATTATATAAGCCTGCATTATGTTATCCATCTTGTAATCCGGACGTGCATGTACACAGGACGTGAAATCTTGATTCTGTGAAATGTGCAGCCCATCCATGTATGTCTAGTTTGTGTTGTTTTATCCACTCTCTTCCCAGTGGCATCTACACATCGTTGTGAGAGGCGATATTGGGTGTGGCTACCGATGGTGAATTCTCATAATTAAGGGTGAGTTTGCTTATCGATGTTTGTTGCCATGAATTGTCAGAAGATGTGCTTGAAATCGGGAAAAAATGTAGGAAACTAACTTCAAAGTTTAGCAAAGCAACAAATAGTCTATTATTTTCCTGGATTAGTTTACTCGAATGTAAAGAATAAATTGCCAGAGGAAGTCTATAAGGTGTTTGATTTGGATGAGAAATCTTCCTGTCACTGGAAGCATCATTGTGAAGCAGCCACAGCTTTAGAGAGAGGGGGGCGAGAGAGATCTGCACACAACACACAAAGCATTGCACAGAGCGCAGTTGGACAGGTGAACACGACGAACGAAGACGAGTGAGATACCATTGCATGTGAAGCACTACAAAAGGCACTGTCCAAATGCCACTATTTCAACACACTTATATTTTCCTATGAGCGATGTTCTCATACTTGGCTGAGGCGAGTTGTTGCAAGCTCCTATGTACAATTCGCCAAGGTTTTAAACATAAATAAATAAACACAAAAATCGTGGAAATCTTTACAATATGATTTAAAAAAATTGTTATATGATTTTCACTTATTACAAGAAAAAGGTCTTCTTTCATAAATTTGGATCTAAAGCTATGATTTGGCATTTTTTCAACAATTTTTTTGTGAAGAAAAATCTTATTCTCTTTTTCTTTTTTCTTTTTTCTTTTTTTACTCAATCCTTGGCATAGATTTCTCTTGTTTTTGTATACAAATCCATGTAGCCCTCATTCCATTTGATCTTGATTCAATTCTCTATAATATTCTCTTGCCTTGTGGTTGGATAAAAAGGTAGAAATTTAGAGATATGGCCTGAAAATCCTCAGTTCTTGTAAAAAAGAAATAAGTTTTTTTTTCCCAAACGGTACCCAATCCACTATTGTATTAATATCTCTCGTTTTTGGCTCAAACCAATTGAAAGTTGGTTCTATTTGATTGTGATTCAACCCTATTCAATGGTATTCAACCCTATTCAATGGTCTGTTTGATCGGTTTTCTAAAATTAAGATTTTTTAACCAAAATTGTATGGTTTGTGTGATTTTTTCTTTCTTTTTTTCTTGACGGTACCGGATCTGTCATTGCATTGATATCTCCTTCATTTTTGGTCGAAATCTCATGAAACTTGGTTGTATTTGATCATGATTCAACTCTATGCAATAGCCCCATAATAGTTTCTTTGATCAAAGGCTGAAAATTGTAATATTCGGCCAATAAATCCTGTTTTTGGACTTGGTATAACTCGGGTCAGTCTACTCGGACTCGCTCAAGTAAGCTCGGGTTAGGGCCAGGGCCCAAGCCAAGTTTAAAAGCATTACCTGAGACGCTAGAAACAATGAACTAAAGCAGTATCAGTAAGCTAATGCATTTTAATAGTTTAACTCTGTTGAAGTGCACTAAGCGGATATGCCCCTGTTTTTTAAGGAAAAAGAGGGGCATAACCAGTTAAAGTGCTCTAGAGAATCACCCCGCCATGGTACTGAAGCAAGATCTAAGCAGGGTATGCCCGAGGCTTACATTCTAGTGACTTCAGCCTTTCCTTTGGTTGGTTTAAGTTCTAAGGGGAAATATACAAATAAGAAATAATACGAAAGAGAGGAGGTATAAAACATTCATCTCCAAGAAAACAGAAGAGAACAGCGGAGGAAGAAAGAAAGCCATTGAAGAAAACTCTACCCATCAGTGTGATCTCACAGAGCATAGGGGGGACACACAGGAGCGTTCATTCATGTCAAAACTAGTAGCCCTGTAGCTAACTGGCTTCAAAATGTTTCTTTTTCTTGTAATCCCTTATCATTTTCATAGTGAAATATTGTCAGAAAATTGGCTATGGACTTGGGGGTTTTACTGCGAAAAAAAAAATAACGTCTCTAGATTTATTTTTTGTTTCATTTACGGTTAAATCTGGACATTCAGTTATATGCCCTCTAGATCAGAAAAAGCTCAACTTGTTTTCTACCATGAGACCAAAAAAATATAGAAAACCACATGAAAATTTGGGGTGGTGCTGGCTAGGACCTGTTAGCTAGCATATATCCACCTCAACAATTTATTAGTTCTATGTTCAATTTTTGCAGTTATATCATATTCCAAAAAATTAGAAGGAAGAAAATCACAATTTCCATCAAAATAAGAACATGCATGTTGAAGCTATAACTTACTGAAAAAAACTAAAAACCGTCAGGTTCACCTAGACCCCTTGGATGCATCCAAGACACATTGGAACCATTGCAAGAAAACTTATGGAATTGAAATAGTCTTCTAGAGGCTGAATCTCACTTGCTTGACTCCATTTTCCAAAGCATTGGATAAACAACTATTCAATTTGTAACTGTCATATCAGTCCATGTACTATATAAAACACACATACATACACCAAGACATTTTTTAGACCCAATTCCTATTCTGACTAACCCGATCAATCATAGACCTCTCCGAGATCCCACCATGTTTCTTTCCTTGAGGCTTTATGGCCACTAACCCCACCATGAACACCAATCTATCATTGAATACCAAGATTTGCCTCTATCATTGCTTACTAATTTTAGAAACTCTTAACAAATCTTCTTTGATGATTTAAACTGGAAGGCTCAAGACCAAGCTTCAACATTATATCTTCCTACCTTCTCTAGCTGTCTTATTAATCGGGTTGCTGACTCCATTGGAGTACCACCTTCTTTTGTTATGATTTCCTCCAAGGCTAACATAACATCAGCTGGCATTTTGGTTGCAGACCCAGCAATATACACAGCACCACCCTCACCCAACAATTCCCAAATCCTTTGGCTTTGTTCTCGCATTTTATGTTGCACATAGACCTTTTGCAGCTGATCTCTAGAGAAGGCAACAAAGAAGCCTCCTCCCTTTTCTTCTGATAACACACCAGAGTTCTCGCAATGAGATAACCAAGAATCTTTGTAAAGGAAGTCTTTCTCTTGGTTTCTGCAGCCAAAGAAGAAGATAACAGGGGCTACAGGTCCTTGGGTGCTCTGAAGTGCTCTTTCCTCCACAAACGCTCGAAATGGGGCACAACCAGTTCCTGGCCCTATGAGGATCAGCGGGAGTGATGGTGACGGGCGACGGAGTGAACCACGTTGGATCCATGCAGGAATACGGGTCTCTGGAGAATCCATTGTCATGATTCAGTGGAATGTTGCATTTAGAACCTCTCTCTCTCTCTCTCTCTCTCTCTCTCTCTACTCTACACTACTACACACACACCTACTACCTACTCTACTCTACTCTCGTCTCTCTCTCTCGTTCTTCGTTCTTCGT